AGTGATTTTCATTTTTCATTTGATACAGTTCCTCAAAGTAAGGACATTCATGTAGCAATTTCGTGGTGCATGTTCAATGGAGACGATTTAATACCGAATTGTGAATGCGTAGAATACTTGGAAACGAAAATTGAATTTTGGAACGTAATTCTTGAAGATAGCGGCATTTTCCCAGCTGTGAGCAAGATGGCACACGTGGTGAAATACATTAACTAAAAGGACATGCTGTGCTTATGCGTTTGATAGCTTCTTGCATTTTTCCGTGTCTAACTACAGCTTTTCTTTATACCGAGTCCATGATAGATGATAACGTATAAGTCGACAGTAAATTAAGACATCAGTTGGAAAAGGTTCGGTCCACTTTGAGGAAAGAAAGCCACACTGATGCCGCAGCTAAAACAGAAGGCATAAATAAACGTACCGATACGTGGAGCTGAATATTTTTCCTCCTTTAACGCATTTATGGGATAGACGACTGAACGGATAGATACAAGAGTGCTCAGTCTGGTGCATGGATTTGATATCTGCACTAACTTTTGACAGTGATCTTTGTTCCTCCCAGAACTGTTGATCATTTACAATGTGAATGGCCTAGTCTCTTGCATGAACTTTCTGGAATTAGGGCGACACCTCTACGAAGTTTGCTGTAGGACTTGTTTTGCAGCTTAATATTATGTTGCATCGGATGACTGCAGGGAAACGGGCATCACTGTTATACTGTTACATTGTATGATGCGCACCGTCACCGGAAAAACGGAGAGAGCACTGCTTTTCTGGTGCCTTGTATTTCCTGACATTGAGCAGGTAAAAGAGAGAAAGCAGATCTACAAATATAAGAGAGCTGAATGAAACTTGTATCTTCTTTTCAGCCTACCTGTGAAAATTTATTGCGTAAATTACATTCAGTTAACCCTTAAAGGAAGGAATGCGATTATTCTCTGAACAGTAAAAACAGGAATAGGTAGAACTGATATGTCTTCATAGCTCCTGACATTTCTCCAGGTTGATGTGTACAAAAGTTACTGTAGTTACTGTAAGTGTTACTGTACCTCTTCTGTATCTTACGTTAATGATTTTGCCGCCTGTTGCATAATAGATGCAAAATGGAGCGGTCTCTGCTTGTTTCAGCGAGGTCGTCCTTTCCATTATTGCAGCCTTAGTTTGTCACACGATTGGATTACTGTAGCTTGGCATCTAGTAAGATACAATGTTGAATTTTTTGTTTTTACATTAAAGTTCTACAATCAGAGGATAGGGTAAAGCTCCGTGGTATATCAGTCCGCGCTTAACTCCTCAGAGATAAAATATCTTTACGTATTGCATCGCTCTTTTGCTCCTAGTTGCTTAGGGGACCATTTAAACAAGTCACAAGTCCATGGCATTTGAACACTTGCAAGGCAGTTAGCGCAGAGCTGTGCCCTGCTTTGGTTGCCCCAGTAGACATTTTAAAACAGTGAGCGGTACAACACACCTTAGTACCTGATTTTGATATACAAAAGTTTCATAGCAGAGACAGGTAATGTACTTCAGTATCCTT